TTTACAAAAATATTCTCCTCTGAAACTATTGGGATAAATTTAATCAAACTTGGCCTCAATCACCATTGGGGTATCGAGTTTTAGAAATTGTGTGCGATGACCACCCCCCTTTTTTTTTCTAACCAACATGGCCGACACGGCTAAAAATAAAACTTCCGGGGTAAAATGCAAGTTTTGTTCATTATATTGAAAACTGCTTTAGATAGAGAAAATCTGACAGGGGCAGGAATTTTCAAAATGTTGAGATCTCCCTACCATCTATTTACGTCAAAACTGTCAGTCTGAGACGAGCTCGTGCTGGAGTTTTTGTCCTTAAATGACATAATTTTTGCCTTTGCTTTTAAACTCTGCAATAGATAGATACTTTACAATATCTATAAAATTTGCAAAGTTCTGACTGTTTAAAAGTGAAGTAATGTTTGTTGCAAATTCAGACACAAACTTTAATTACTTCTTCATAGTAGTAGTCATTACTACTTAATAATGTTTTAAGCATATAGTACTTCATAAAACTTGTTACTAATAAAGATTTCAGAACTAAAATATTAAAAAGCCTTAAGATATCAATGAAAAAAAATAAAGTAAAAAAACTGCAAATTCATCACGGAACTTGATCACTTCCCTTTCATCACATTTTGCGCATTGCTATACTTTACGGATAATAATTTGCACCTAACTAATATATGAAATGACTACCTTTTTCGCTATTATATACAGATATTTTCAATTAATCGAACTTATATATGTATAAAGTTTGTTTGTGTATGTTTAATTTTTTTCCTTTTTTGCTATAATCCGTCAAATATCACTTTGTCAGAAAAGTCTAATTGTATAAAATCAAAATAAACTTCCGGAAAATACATGGATCCTTTTTTCCGCGTTCATGTCATCGTTTCAAACAGGGAAAAATGCCAATACCAAACATTTTGCTATGATGACGCTTGTTTTTTTTCAATACACATTTTGCCTTTGACTGAAGAGTTCTTGGGATGAGGTTGTGAAAAGTCTCCCATATCTAAATTCTGGGACATGTTTTTGCAAGCCATTTAAATACTTCTTCAGAACATTAGATCAAAAAGAGAGGGTAATTGATCTCTTTACTTGAGCTCCACTGCTGTCATGTTGCCCTATATCCTATATATATGTTACAAATAGGATTAACTACTCAGGATGGCTACCTGTCTACCTGCTAGATATGCTAGCTTTACCACTGAATGTAGAATTAACAATTCAGCGAGGTGAGTTTTTGATGAAGTAAAGCTAACAGCTTTGACCCGAGACGAAAAACAAGTATAGGAAATTGTAGACCATGTTCTTGAATGAATGACTGCACGTTCGCCACAGAACTCCATCCACCATCACTAATAAACATTTCAACTAGAATGCACGCTTCGAATAACATACAGACCTCTTTGGCGTCAGCTGTTGGTGAAGGTAACACAATGGCTAGATCATAGATTGACGTGACATTTGCAGAAGGCAAGACTCGTAGTTTTTTGCTTTTATCCCTCGGTCAAAGTTATTAAAACATTTGTGGATCTAACCAAGTTAACAAATTAAAATGTAGAACAGTAGAAATTTTGAATCTTCACATCAATCCTGAACTCGTGCTTCGTCGAGCATTGGTATTAGCGACGTCACTGTTGAAAGAGGTTTTGTCATTTCCGATGGGTCTGATCTCTTTTTTCATGATGATAGAACCATGATAAAATCATGTAAAGCCTATCTTAACTTCACTTTCCGCTATATAGATGATGTTTTCTCACCAAATAATTTAAAATAAAGGATACAACAGATACAGTTAAGTCTGCCTCATATCTTGACTTACATCTAGAAATTAACAATGAGGGTCGGTTGAAAACAAAACTTTACGACAAAAGAGATAATTTCAGCTTCCCAATTGTGAACTTTCCATTTCTATGTAGCAACATTCTAGCATTGTCCGCATACGGAGTATATATTTCCCAGTTAATACGATATTCCAGGGCTTTTGTTCCCTATCATGATTTCCTTGATAGAGGGTTGCTGCTCACAAGGAAGCTATTAAACCAAGAGTTTCAAGTGGTGAAGTTGAAATCATCCGTTTGTAAATTTTACGAACGCCATCACGAGTTGGTTGACCCTTATGGAATATCTGTTTCACAGATGACGACGGACATGTTCCAATTGTCGTCTAATACAGTCCCGTTCCCTTTCCACCGAATTTGACCAACCGAGTTCCACATTGTATCGGCTTTGTACTTACATGAGCGACACGACGGGTGCCACATGTGGAGCAGGATCTGCTTATCCTTCCGGAGTACCTGAGATTACCCCACTTTTTTTATGTGAGGTTCGTGTTGCTCAGTCTTTGGTTTTCTATGTTGTGTTTTGTGTACTATTTTTTGTCTGTTTGTCTTTTTCTTTTTTAGCCATGGCGTTGCCAGTTTATTTTCGAATTATGAGTTTGAATGTCCCTTTGGTATCCTTCGCCTCTCTATTGCATTAATCTCGAGAACGAGACATCGTATTTTCACTCCCTCCCCGAGTTCGATAAATCGCTTACCGTTTTGATTAGGGATGGTATGTCTCTTATCCGGTGTACCAATGCTAACAATTTGAAACTTTTGGTGACCTGGGGATAGAGATCGTCCAATCTCATCTCTGCTGTTTTTCAAGGGCTACTTTTGTTGTTGATATCTTTGACAGATATGACGTCAAACTTTCTATCAAGGCAGCAGAACGGGACCGAAGATCAAACTTTACACCAAAGGTCTTTCAAGTAATTGCAGGTCGCTCCCTTCGAGACTTGAAAAAGTTTTGTTTATCTTCCAATGAAAATAAGCAAGCATTGCTCCAGTTTCTTGGAAATTTTATTGCTTGTTACCACAAAAAACAACCATAATGCATTAGCAAATAAAAGTGAACTAACTTGAGCTAGAACTTTTTCCGATCCGGAAATCGTAAAACGCATTTGTGCAAAAACTTCCAATCACAGCGTCGACCTTTACAATACGGATGAGGAAGCTGATACGCGTATGATTTTGCACGCCATATATGCCGATAAACAGTTTGGAAGTTGCTGTAAATGAGGGATCATAGTGGAATCCGCTGACACGGATGTTTTAGTTCTTTTTGTCCACTATTTTTCTTCCCAGAAAAACAAAGAAGTACTTTGGTCTGCAAACAGGAACTGTAACCACAACACAAGACGCAAGACGTTTTATACCTATACATAAACTATGTAATTCTTTGAATTCCATCGTTAGTCAATGCTTGCCTGCCATGAATGCAATTACAGGATGTGACTCCACAACAGCAATGTTTGGCATAGGTAAAAAACGGTTTTCAAAGTCCTGAAATAGGTGTGTAGTGATGTTTCCGATTTAGTTAACCTGACAAACTGTGATGTTGATGAATATCTTTCAGTTGCAAGAAAGCTCGTGGATTTGCTTTATGATCAAAAGAGTAAATTCAAAAGCGTGCACAGTGACCTCAATAAATTACGTGTAAATCTTGCGACTACTAAAAATGCGCCTATTGCCAAGCTTCCCCCTTGTAAATCAATATTTAGGCAACATTTGATTCGAGCATCTTTGCAGACAAGTATATGGATGACATCACATCTTCCTAAACTACCTTTAAGATCTCTGTTATAGTTTGAATGGATTTGTAAGGATGGTTAGAAGCCGGTATTTTTCGAGGTCAAATGTCTTCGGACTTCCTACAAGACCTTGTCTGAACTTGTAAAGGAAAGTCTGTGTGCTCAAAAGAATATGTTTGCTTTGAGCAAAACCTTTCATGTACAGACCTGTGTCCATGTCGGGCAAGTGAAATGTGTGGAAATATTAATACGCTTCTTGTGATGGTTGGTGGAAATGAAGATGCTGGAGATCAGTCTTGAGTACCTTTTCAAGTCTGTGGTACGTTGCAAGGAAAAAAAGGGGGTTATGAGAGTTAAACCAGAGTAAAACACACAACATAGATCATGCTATGGAAGCAGCAATAATCGGTGAAAAAACAGAAGCAACGAGTCGTCTATAAAAAACAAAAGTATCCGCAAATTCAATATAAGGTCATATTTGACTGTAGTGTTCTATTGCATCTGTCTTGATACCTCTCCAATATGCTAGTTTAAAAAATAATTTTGAAGTATTGTCTTTCATGACACTTGATTGTTACGTGAAATTAATATAATTTATAAGGGTAAGGTGCTATAAACATGTTATGGGTTGAAAACTTAAGTTTTGTTTATAAAAACGTCGTTTTGGGAAATTTTTGGAGAAAAATATCTATGATTAAGGTTTATTTATAAAACATTACTAAAGCCAAAACAGTATCGTTTGTATTTAAGTAGAAGTTAGAAATAGAAAAAAAATGTCAAAACTGAAATCCTTCAAAATTTTCAGTGTGTGTAAAGATGACCTTTGACCTCAATTTTAAAAAAATGTGACCATATCCGGTCCTTCCGATAGGCATATTGTTAAAGTACAAGGTTTCTTCTTTCGAACGATATATAATATAGGCATGATAGGTGTGTGTTCGGTGGGGAGATTAAACTCCAAAATATCTGCCCTCAGTAACCGCACTAATTTAAACTATGTTTGTAACAAAAGATCTAATAAATGTTTTAAAAACTGCATGGTTTAAACTCACAAGGAAGTTTAGTTTTCCAACCAAACATATACTACAATTTGGTAAAAAATCAATTAAAAGTATTAGCAATGCTCCTTGGTTAAGTTAAAGCATTTATAATAGCTTTATAATACTTATGGAATTTTATAGATTAAGTTTAATTTGCAACCAACTATTCAGATGAAATAGAAAAAGGTAATATACAAAAACTATGATGATGTAAAAGTAGGAAAGACAGGGTTAAAAGGGTATGTTCACTCATTCAAGATTTTTAACTGTTAAATGAAAATGACACTTTATAAATTTAATGTGCCTTTAACAGAAGTCTAAAAGCGATCATTTAAAGGCCAACGATGTATTAGTAGAGAGAAATTATATACATTTACCTTCAAAAGCCATTTTTCATGATAATTCCATTGCTTCTGACCTGTTATATAAAACATATTCTCAATAAATCATTAATAAAGACAAACTTTATAAGATGCGGTATTTTGTCGTTTATTGTCGTTGTGGAAAAAAGCATATGATACATGGATTACTTAGAAAAGCAATGAAATAAATGTTATCAAAAAGTTAATATTGGGGACAAATTAAAGGATAGGCAAGGTGGAGAAAAAAAACACCGTAAATACACACAAGAAAGAGCAGATTATGCATATCATAGACATGTTATAATTTGTTGCAGACATGGTGTTGTCTGAAAAAAATCAACCTTAGTGTTAAAAAAAGCAATATATACCAAGGGGACATAAATGTAAAACGCAGAAGTCAAAAGAAAACAGGTAACGCCATGGCAAATATAATGATTTTAATAAAATTGTCAATGTTTAAAATCCTGTATCAAGGAATAAATTCAAGATGATTTTCCTTGTGAAAATGACGAGGTTTTTGTTCAAATGTCATTTGAATATTTGAATTCAAATTCGATCATATCTACTTTGCGCTTACAAAGATTGTGCATGAAGTTGTATGTATATATATTGAAATGTAAGACAAACTATCATTAAACCACCAAGGATTTAGAATCACTAAAATAATTATAACAAAGGCATATACACAATGTCTTTTAAAAGTTTTTAAACCAAAAAGCTTTGTTGCTTGACACTAATAACACTAATTAATTCGTAACACACATATCCCTTTGTTTCATTTTAAGTATGATGCACTTAAAATGATGATATTGATGCCATACTAACAATAATGCAGTGATCCCGGTATAAAATATAACCTTTATTGGAAAAGGAACATTGAGGGGTATTGCAAACGATACATAAACAGGTACTAGATAAATATTGTGAACATCTAGCAAAAGAGGGACGAAAGATACCAGAGGGACAGTCAAACTCATAGATTGAAAATAAACTGACAACGTTATGGCTAAAAATAAAAAGACAATTGATGGGAGTAGTTTTTCAATTAAAATATAGCTTTTTTTTGTGTAAATGAACATAATTTCTAAATAAAAAGTAGGACACTGATTTAAATTAGTACGATCCTAAACAATCTTTATAAATTAAGCTGGAGACAAATCGATGGAAAAACAAAACAGGCTTATAACTTTAATACGCCGACATGCTTCTGTTTTGGCACAAGATTAATAAGTGTCATTGGAATTAATAACGAAATTACAATTGCATCCTTAATCGCATGTCACAGGACTTTATAATTATAACATGCATACAATCAAAACATGAATCGATTTTCATTGCTTAATTGATGTAAAGCTAGCAAAAAAAAAAAAAAAAAACACGAACAAAGCCATATGTATGATACAAGACCCTGACAGTCAAAAATATCACAAGGATTACCACACATTTGAACATATACGAAAAGAGAAGTATTCGCATAGATTATTTCTGAGCTTATTTTCAAACCCTTAACCAGTATCATTTACAGTTAACCCAATATGTTATAAAAAATAAAACGAATTTGATATAACAGGAAGAAATTACCAATTAAACCATATAAACGGTTTCATAAGAACAATTTAAGACGAAATTAATTTCTGATTGGAATGATCAAATCAGTCAAAAGCGCATTTTTAAATTGCTAAAATATATAAGTTGGTTTATTAAAAATACATAAAACTTACATAGAAACTGGCGGAAATAACTTTTGTTCCGTACCCATGCTTTTCCTTTGCCTTTTATTAATATAAATATGAGAAGAGGCATTGCGCATGTCATTAAACTTGTAAACAAGTATTTAAACAAACAAAACGTTTACTACAATAGATTGCAATCTTTCTAAAATGTTCATGACTATATGACGATAAATACTAAGTGTGGATATGTTTTACGTCAATCTGATATTCTTGGGAATATTGTCAGTTAACTTAAAGTATTTGCCGAACGCATATATAAGTACAGTTTGATGATTTTCTCAATACTTCATTCAATTATTGGTAGACTCAGAATGTCTTATAATCTACAATTGTTTATTCGTTTATTCGTTTAACGGATCGAGGAAGAGCTTTAGAACCCTGCAAATTTTCCATAATTTTTGTAAAAATTGATCTTGTTCACGTATTTATTTCCTTATATTCGAGAATGGTGTTGCTTGGGTATCTAACAAGCATTAAAACATTATAAAATAAGGTTTTGCATGTTAACAACTTCTGAATAAAAGTACAGTTATTTAAAACTTCGTCCTAACTGATTATCCAACTTGGTACGATAAAAATTCGAGGAACGAAAATTTATGCGCAACACCAGTTAATCATGTTAATGTAAGACAAATGCTTCAATTAATAAGCAAAACATTTTGAAGTACAGATTGTAAACAGTTCGATCAGTATGGTATATTTATATATATATGTATGTAGCAAGTCTACTATTCTGACATTTTATATATATATAACTGTTTAATGATAACAGAAACTATTAAAATTTTCTAGTTGGTCTCCTTTTTTAAATAATTATATTTAATTGTGTAATAATCAATACATATTGAAACTGATTTCATCGGAGTTGGCAAACTTTGAACCCTAATTAATGGGGCCTGCTTTGTAATTTGCAATAAACTCAATAATGGTCAATAAGAAGAAGTAACATAAAAAAAAACCATTAGGTTGTACGTTTTGCATTATTTTGTTTGTTTTATTATTTGTGTTCATGTTAAATGAATGCCTCAGATCACATGTGTAACTCCTGCATAAAAGTTTCTTTTTTTCATGGATGGGATACAAAACGATCTCAGCGTTTTAAAGCAAAACTTCAAATAAGCAAAAATGTACTTCAAGTGGCCTTCAAATTACCTAGGCACTATGCTGTGCTTGATATATTGAATCTCAGAGAAAAAATGTAATGTGATAAGATAAGCATACAGCATACTTACACTCTTATAAGACTTTGATTCCACTTCATCTTTATTGTGAAAATATTGCTAAAAAAATTAAATACTTACTGTTATTGTTAAGAGTCATTCGAAAAGTGAGAGGAAGTGATTTTTTAATCGCTATACAAATGTCTTAAAAAGATAATATGCATTTGGTTTATACCGTTTCATTTTAATGAACGGATTTCTTTGTATATATTGAGGTGATATCTGGTACACCATACTTTACTTTCGTTTGACCTAACTGGATTTAAAAAAAAATCATAGAAATAACGTTTTTAATTCTACATTGGCTAGAGGTATAGGGGGAGGGTTGATATCTCACAAAACATATTTAACCCCGCCGCATTTTTGCGCCTGTCCCAAGTCAGGAGCCTCTGGCCTTTGTTAGTCTTGTATGTTTTTAAATTTTAGTTCATTTATATGCTTTGGAGTTTAGGGTGACGTCCATTTTCACTGAACTAGTACACAATTTTATTTAGGGGCCAGCTGAGGACCACCTCCGGGTGCGGGATTTTCTCGCTTCGTTGAAGACCCATTGGTGGCCTTCGGCTGTTGTGTGCTCTTTGTTCGGGTTGTTGTCTCTTTGACATATTCACCATTTCCATGCTCACTTTTATTCTCCTTTCTCATTGTCAACTCCATGCGACAAAGTATAACAAACATAGCTCCAAGGCAAATTCAAAAAAGCGGAAATCCATAAAAACTGACAAAATCAAACAATATCAATCTACGAAATAAGATAAAAATAACTGCCATATTCCTGACTTTATACAAACATTTTCCGACGTAAATGGTGTGTTAAACCTAGTTTTTTTTAACTAGCTAAACATCCCACATGTATGACAGTTGTCTATAGTTCCGTTATATTGAGCAACCCAAACAGACATAATAGGTTAGTCTGACAATAATTGGGATCCAGCAGCCAAAAGCGTGTAAATATACCTCAAAGACATACAACACAAATGACTCAAACATTCAAACAAATGTACAAATTAATCTAATATTGAACAGATATTTGGTTTATAGTGCAAGAATAGAATGTTTTTAAAGATTTTGAAAAAATTTGAAAAGTTTACCAAGAAATTAATAATTTGGACATTACTTACCAAAAACAAAAATCGATCGAGAGTCATGTATAAAGAAAACATTGAAGTGAGAGCTTTCGCTTGTCAAAGTAAAGCAAAATCTATAGTTTGCTAAATGTATAAAAGTTAATTTATGAAATCAAATTGTGTTGTCCTTCGAAGCAAAATGTTACTTGCATATGGATATATACCTCCCTAGAATACCCTATTAGTATCATTCAGAAAAGAAAAGAAAAAACAATTGAACACTTTTGACAACATGCCCTCATAAACAGTAATGGCATTCTCCGAACATTGCGTCTTTCCCTATATGTCATATGTAGTTCCTGCACAATCAATTAAAATGGTTTTTTTTCTTCTTGAAGTTCTGGAAGGAGTCTCAGGCTCGAGGGCTGATGGATTTTTTTTTCGTGATCAGATATAAAAGGAAACAAATTAAAAACATACGATACATACAGAATTTGATATGTTTTGAATAACACTTTCAATAAAATTGAAATGCATTGTAACTATGATAGTTGTGTAATTTGAACATTAAAATCAGCAAAGAGTTCCTATGGTTTACTTTAACTATATAGTTCCTATTTACTTTAGACAAGCTAACAAATAATTAAAGCCAGCATAAAGAAATGCACAATTGGCATACCAAAAAATAATACGTAAGGACCTTATTTTTTAGTACCGAAAACTATTTGCATTATTTCTCTGATTGAATGAGTGTTAGCTTTACATGGAAATGCAAAAAGGAAGTCAAAGGTAACAAATGATATCATTCAAAAACAAATCTCTTGTCTTGTCCTGGAAAGCTCTCTCTCTCTCTCTCTCTCTCTCTCTCTCTTTTGAGGGAAGTACATGCAACTATTGTATATATGTGATACTTTCTTGACCCAATGAAATTTCAGATTTTGTAAATCTATGCATTACGTTTAATTTGCCTTTGGAATCAAATTTAACTTAACGTTCTTGATCGAACTAACAGTTACATTATGTAAATAAAAGAGTGTCAAAGAAACTAAATGATACCAGACACGACATCTTCAGGTCATCATACACCTTTTGACAATTATAAGCCTTCATTGTATACCACATGTAATAAAATCTAACTGGCCCGATGTAGCTCTTGAATTGTTGATCACTTTAACAGTTTACAATTTCTACCAAACTTATATAGTTTTCAAGTCAATAGACAAAAACTGAAAAATTATTTAAAAATCGTTATCTAAAGAGAACAACTCCTAAAAAGAGTCATTCGATGGTATCAGTCATATAAGAATTTTTGTAGATCCATATTTGCTGATGATGTTTGTGATCTCGGTTTCTTTTTAACTGTTGAAGATACATTCTAATAGGCAAACATAGGTTTTACAACTCGATGCCTTTCAAAGCTTGCTATTTGATATGGTTTTTGCTCATTGTTGAAGGCCGCACGGTGACCTATAGCTGCTTCCTTCTACATCATTTGGTATCTGATGGAGAGTTTTCCTTTTTTGACCATGGCAATTTCAGTTTGTTATCGACTTATGTTACTTTGAATATCTCTTCGGTATCTTTCGCCTCTCTTTTGTCTCATCATACAGATTTTCTTATTTTATAAACACATGCACGAAAACTAGAAAAAAATCGTCATTTAAGGGCAATAACTTATATTAAGTGTGTCCTGATAAATTAGATGGAAATAGAAAGTATGTAAATCTTGACATTCTGAGCATTTCAGCCAATGTCCGATTTTCTTTTTTTATTAATTATTTTAACTATTTAAGACAATAAATGCATTTGAACCTTATCTTCTATTTTTACCCACAGGGGTCATGCTGGTTGATAGTATACTAGATGCCCTTAAGATTATTTAGTTCAAGTTTGCATGAAATTGGTTAAATGGTTTTAGAGAACATTTCCCAAAAAGTTTACGCCGACGGACGACGATGATGACGAACGCCTTGTGCTAGAAATAACTCCCCTGACCCTATGGTACAAGGAAGCATATAAATAAAGGAAAAGCTCCGTTGACTAAATAAGTGATAACTCATAGATAAATTCGAAATACAAAATGATCATTAAAATACTTTACCTAAGGCCCATCGAGTGTGCGACAACCAGAATGTTATATACTCATCTGTATACCAGTAACTAATGTGTTGGTTGCTATTTATTAATCTTTGAAGACTAACTTTGCCAATGCATTCTCAAAAATCGTGATTTTGCATACTTTTATATAAATGATGAGAGGGATTACTTTTATAACAGTTCTTGATACACAACAGATAATTAAAGGCAAATAAAGCTAACCTGCATCATGTATTGATCCAAAAATATTATCATTTCATTTGCTGTTTGAAAAAAGTCAAATTCAGTAATGTGTTATCGGCCAACAAAGAAGACAAATCACTTGTCCTCATCCAAACCATATGCATGAAATATTTGCTGCCACAGTTACAATCAAACAACGCATTTCCCTTTCGTTAAAGCTTGGTAGCACATGCTTGTCAATAAATGCAAGGTTCATGCATCTGAATACACAAGGCATACCATTTAGCAATGACCATATTCACACAAGCTGGCCGTATCCAACGAGAAGGAAAAAAATCTTTTCTTCAACTACAGGTTTGAATTTGTCAAATATAATATAACAATTTGTTTTAAAAGGAACTGCATGTTAAATTAAAAACGAACAACGTGTAATATTATTTTACGTATATTATATAACGTATTTACT